GGACTCCTGGAGAGTTCCCATTGGTTGGGGAAGTACAGTAGGAGGGAGTTCCGGGGGAGGAGCTCTCTCTGCGGTTCCGAGAGGAGGCCGCGTGGGTGGAAAAAATCTTCCTGGGCGGTACCGGACATTGGCGGCAGTTTCAAAAAATAAACTTTGTTCCTGCTTGAGTGGCTCGTGATTTTGTGCCCAGCCAGACTGCGGCAGAGTATGATTCCGTAAAGTGGTGGGGAGTAGACAAGGTCTTGAATGAATCCTGAATGTCAGATGTCACCATTATTGGCTGGGACAAGGACAAATGTGCATTGACATTTAATCCGTGCTCTGGAGGCCTGAGTGGAACTGTGGAGTTCAAGGTCATGTGGGTGTGAACCCAACTACATATTTCTTATATCTACACAGTAAATAAAAACATTAAGTTGTGTAATTGTATTGTTTGGGACCCTCATTTATTATTATTGTAAATGACCACCAAGACAAAGTAGTTTTGATATATGAATATTTGTTTTCACGAATATTGGTGTCAAAGACATAGTAGGATTGCTAAGCTGAAGTGATCCACACTGAATTGAAAGGCAGCAAGTAAGCCAGGCACCTTTTTCAATCTCTTTTGGGAAAGATGTGCACATGTGGAGTCCAGGGACATATGGGTATCAACCCAAGTGCATCTTTTTTACAGTCCATACAGTAAAAATAAATGTATTAATTTTATGTAAAGGTTTGTTTACGATCTTCATTTCATGGAGTACTAAATGACCACAAAGACAAAATGGATTTTGACATGAAACTTTTTAATTGAAAATAAAATGTACTTTACATCCAGAAAAGCAAAATTATAAGCTACAAGATGATGAATAATTCTGTAATCTCAAAGCAGTAAACTATCCCTTCTAGATGTTTATTACCATGAATATTGTTGCCAAAGTGACAAAAGAGTTGCTAAACTGAAAGGATCTGTGTGGCATTGAAGGCAGCGATCCGGGTAGACATATTCTTCTCCCTCCTCTGGGAAACATTATGGTGATGTTTCTATACTAGTTTGTCTTTCCTTGTTTAGTTGTAGTTCTAGTAATTCAATCTCAAGGGATAGCTTAGATACTTCCAGGGCCATTTTCACATCTGCCGGGTTTGGGAGACACTGCAGGAGTTTTTTTCCTGTGTATACTTGATTGCACCCTTCCTGGAATTCCTGAAAGAGAGAGAGGTAGTGGGTGTGGTGGAGCCTCTTCTCTCCAAATCATGGAGGAGGTGCACCCTGAAGATGGAGTGCTCCAGATAAGGACCAAGACCAGCTTCAGATTTGTGGTTGACCAGAGAAAACCAGAAATCTGAAGCCCCCCAAAGTTTTCCTCAGATCAGTGTCTGTTCTGAGATAGCTGCTCAGAAGACTTCCATGAGGGTTAGGGTACCCTGTTGACCACTCAGCAATAGAAGAGTATATTATATGATGTATAATATAGAAGAATATATTATATGATGTAGAAATAGAAGAGTATATTATATGATGTAGAAAAGTAAGCATCAGTACGAGACCAAACTAGATTTTCCACTTTTGCTGGTAGACTGGATATGCTTAAGGGGTAGTCTTCTGTGGTCAGTAAAAGCCCATTTTAGTGTTAGCAGCTAATCATAGCAGGGGATGCTGGGCAGCATCAGCCTGAGGGTCACAGCCAGCAAAACTGGATTCTTTTCTGCTATTACCAAGTGGCACAGTTGCAGTTCTTTGTGGCAGGCTATGCCTCCAGAGTCTCAGCAGACTACATCAGCTAACTACAGGTTTCTTTCCAGGTTCTTGTCTCACAAATTTGAAGACTGAAATCCACAGACAACAGAGGAAGGCAAGAGGGAAAGGAGTAGGATTTGTTTAAGAAGAAAAGAGAGAGCAGGACAAGAGAGGCCTCCATACCAGGCTGCCATTTAAATGTACTGGGTTAGGGATTTATATAGCTACTGGGGAGGAGCATCGATCAATACCTATACTAATCAGGTCTTGGAAAAGTACCAACACTACTGGTTTGCTCCAAGATCTTCTAATTGGCTGTGCCCTTTCAGCCCTTAAGTTTGAACTTTCGGGGCTGGGGATGTGGCTCAAGTGGTAGCGCGCTCGCCTGGCATGCTTGCGGCCCGGGTTCGATCCTCAGCACCACATACAAACAAAGATGTTGTGTCTGCCGAAAAAACTAAAAAATAAATATTAAAATAAAAAAAAAAAAGAATTGTCATTTAAAAAAAAAAAAAAGTTTGAACTTTCCTGTAACCTCCATTTGGGTTCACCCCTACTTCTGTGCATCAGGCTTTCAGGGGCTGTGTAGTAATTTCTGTAGGGCTAAGTCTAGGACCAAGCTCCATGACCAACTTAAAAGTAGAAAAACCCAGACAGATAGAAAAAAAAAAACACTTAATTGGGGCCCATTAATTATTCTACTTTTTTCAGTACTATGCCACCCTGGCCTTCTTGCAGTGCATTTGGGGAGATTAAGTCAAAGAGGCTAGTTTCCCCCACAGAATTTTGTGGAAAGGCTAGAAGAGGCAGCAGGAGATAGCAGTTCTCTCATGGGCTCTGTTTATGTTGCTCTCAAGGAAGAACAGGAAAACTTACCACCTCTAAGCGTGCTTTAAGGAAAAAAGAGAGAGTTTGGTTGAAAGACTGAGAAATGAATCCTGAAAATCAGATGTCACCATCATTGTCTGGGAGAGAGCTTGGTGGGGACCACCATTTTTACAGTTTGATGGCACAGAATTTCCTTGAATTATGCCACTTACCCACTCACACTTGGGCACTGCTGGGTGCCAGGCTGTGTCCTCTGAGCAAGTGATCATTTGGCTACCCACCACTCTAAAGCCAGAGTCACAGTGGACAGTGATACTTTCCATTTCAAGATACTGATACTTATTCACAGACAGAGTCCCATTTTTAATCTCTGGTTTCCGACAGATAGCTATAATGGAAACATATTTTTAGGCAATCTGTAAATCTAAGAAAAAGCATAGCAATAGTCTAAGACAATAAGAATGAATTACGTTTAGGAGCTGCTAATTGTTCTATATTTCATTTTGATAACAAAAATATTGGGCCAGGCGCAGTAGTATACGCCTGTAATCCCAGTGGCTCAGGAGGCTGAGGCAGGAGGATTTTGAGTTCAAAGCCAACCTCAGCAAAAGTGAGGTGCTGAGCAACTCAGTGAGACCCTGTCTCTAAACAAAATAAAAAATAGGACTGGGGATGTGGCTCAGTGGTCAAGTGCCTCTGAGTTCAAACCCTGGTAACAAAAAGAAAAAAAAAAAAAAAAATATATATATATATTGGTTAACAGCTTTATTGAGCATGGTCTAAGTACTTTATGTGGCTATCTCACCTCTCACAATAACCCTCTAAAGTGAGTACTGTTATCTGGGAGAAAGTTTAGATACTGAGAGGGTAAGGAACTTGTCCATGGTCATCACATTTTAAATAACATGACAGGATATTTTTTTAAAGGGGATGTGACTCCAGATTCTCAGCTAGCAGAGTAACTCTCACCCACAGACAAGATTGCTGCAAGATGCTAGGCATGGAGTTTTTCTTCTTTTATCCTGTGCCTCCTGTGTGCTATGGAGACAATGGTGCAAAATACATTCTAAATTATTATAAATATAGTGTTATTATTGTTGTATACATGTAAAAATCAGACCCAATCTTGATTTCTCCTGTTCCAGATGGGTTGGCATGAGGAATCCCCTCCATACACACCATTTAATTATAGCAGGCAGCACTCTGCACATGACTCTGATGGAAATATCTGTCCATCCATTCAATTTGAAATTACCCTAGGAGAGCCTACATTTGTGCTAAAACAAGTTTCCTTGAAGATTTTATAGAGCCTGCAGGTAATACTCCTTAAAATGTGATGCTCCTAGGACAGTTGTGAAAATGTTTACAAGAAACCAGGAATAGGGGCTACCTCAAGAAGGCTGAATTTTGTGACTGGGAGAAAGAAGTAGAGGGCAGGAATTTTTTGTCCATTTTTTTATGCTTTTTGTATGGTGTACCACCTGCATATATTAATTATTTAAAATAAATGAAGTCAGATCAAGTGTTTTAGTGCTGCCTCTGAAGGGAACATCTTTGCTCTTGATCTTCTCCTAACAGTTCCACCAGCATGTGTCATGGGTCGAGGAGGGAGCTGAATTACCTTTGCACTCAGGAGGTTCAGGTGACCACTGAGAATAGGAGCAGGAGAGTTTTGCTTCTCCAACCAGTTGGTATCCTACATCACATTCATACACAATCTCAGTTTTATATAAATGAAAAGATGGTTTATGATGTCCGTGGGCAATGGTAGGTGGGAAATTGCAATTTTGATGGTGAGACACTAAAGTAAGAGAGAATAAGTGTGTGAGAGAGTACATCCCGGGATATGTATGGTTTGTAGAAGGATTCACTCTGTCCTTCCCTCTTCTCTGACACACTTCCTTTGAGGAACATGCCTTCCCCATACCAGCACAAGAGAATAATCTTTATCACCAGAGAATAAAATTTGTAGCTGTGATGAATCTGTACAATAAACTCTCAAACATAAACCTAATCTTCTACTAGCTTTAAACCCCCTACATAGCTCCTAACAACTTCCCTAGAATTTACAACCCCTGGTCCAGATGGCTCTGTAATGTCATTTCTTCACAAACCTATTGATCTGTTTCTAAAAATTGTAAAATTCCCTGCATCGGCTATTCTTCCAGGTCTTCACTTTTGTGAAGGCAAAAATAAAATAAAAAATGTTTTTCTTCTGGTCTCATGTCAGTTTGGCTCCTAGATCCCATTTAAGAACTAAAAGGGTAGAGATGTATAGTGGGGTCTATACATAGGATTCTCTACATCCAACTAGAAGACCCATTCATGGCAATTAAAAGAGAAAAGGGGTGTGGCATTAGTACCGTGGTCATGGAATCACTACTCCAAACACATAGTATATCACCCAGAACCTGCTGGCTTGTTAGAACATTGGGATGGCCTGAAAGGCAACACTGAACAGGGATAGGCACCATCTTCCAGAATTCACTTTGAACCAAAGATCCATCTTTATATAGCGCCAGGTCCCCAGTTAAATAAATGCATGGGGTCCAGAAGCCAAGGGAGGGATGGCATCAGTGGCCCAGCTTACTATTGCTCTAAATGACCCACTTGCTTGAACATGTCTAACAGGGGAGAAAGTAATTTTCTCATTGATTTATAAGCTTTAACTAATGTCTGGCGTCTTTGGGGCTTCTTTAACCCTCTTGCTCAGGAGGAAAGAAAAAGAATCACAATCCTGACTGAGGTCATCGTTCCTAAGCATCAATAGTTAAGGCTATCAAACACAATGAGGGAAGGGAGGAATGTGTTTAGCACAGTGAGTGCCCCTTGATCAGGGAGAAGAAGGCATCTCACAGGGGGTGACAGAGTGACAGGAGAGCTTAGCCAGAGGATGGCTGTTGAGGCAGAAGAAAAAAGGAAGTTCAGGAAGGTTTAGGCAAGTCTTATTTTACAGATTAAGATATATACATCAGAAATGAAGAACAGGGAATGTAAACAAAGAAACAAAAAAACAGTCATTGAGAAGTTCAATTTATCTATTAGATGTGATCTATTTTTACTGAATCAAAAAAGAAAAGGAAATTGAGAAGGCCAAGAGCATTGGAAGAAAACAGGAGGGTCAGAGAGAAAGGGAAACCTGGATCCACTTCATGAAATGTGGGGTATATGATTCTTTTACCTAATTTTAAACCTTCTCATAATAATCTCCATCATATTGATATAAAGGCACTCCCTAAATAACATGACTCTTTACGTTCTTACCGTGGTCACATGATGGTGTTCGGGGACTCCATGTGCCATCTGATCCACATGTAGCTGAAAATTGTCGCCCATAACACGTGTATGAAATTAGGTCTTTGTAGCTATAAGAACACTTGTTGGTAGGGTGGTATCTTTTAGGGTGAATGATTTTACCATTCGTCAGCTCTGGTACTGGGCAACATACTTATAAAAAATAAAAAGTGAAGATAACAGTTAATAAAAGCACCGTGAAGAAGCTCCTATGGCTAACAACCTCATTTCTACCTTTGAAGGATATTAGTACTGAAGAGATGCTGGGGAAACAATAGAGACTCAAAATGTTCCAAGTATGTGTTCCCTGTCCCTGATTGCTAAAGAATTCTAATCCAGTCATTTTCCTCCAACAAAACATTCTCATTAGGAGCCTCCAAAGGAGAAGTTGTAACAAACCTGTGTGAAAAATATAAATTTTCAAAATTATTCAAGAACAACGACAAATAACATCCACTTACTGACTTCCCTGGGGTTACGTCATAATTCAGTTCTCCGCTTAACACTTCTCCAGACTCAAAGAAGAAAGTTCTCAACAGTTTATATCCACCAGACAGTTCATACATAGATATAAATTGATATTATTGCTTATGGCAACAAAAAAAGAAGTTTTTCTTTTCTGATGTAAAATTTTTAAAAAAAATAGCTATTCAGATTCTTTCCTTTTGGAAATAATAATAACTGATACAGAGTTATAATTTTTCATTAATTAGTAGAAATAAGGACTTTAAATGGAACTGGAGCCAGGCACAGGTGCACACCTGTAATTCTAGCACCTCTAAAATGGCCTAATGCTATTAGACGGGTAGAAGGAGACATTTTCTCCATTTTTTTTTGTCAATTTCACTGAGATGCATAAAATAGCATCTACCTAACCTATCTGTGGGCCCCTCCCTGGTTCCCACAAGTAGAGGCGGCACCTCTCCTACCAATGAAACTGGACAAAGTCTCCTTTGTATCCTCCTGAGGTAAGAATATTGGGCAAGGAATCAGGATCTGTCTTCTAGAGGCAGGTGAGGAGATCCAACTCTGTCTGCCTGCTGTCTTTTAAAATTAAAAGCGACTTCTCATTTCCCATTAACTGTTTTTCTGCATCTTGCATTTCCTCATACTGAGAGTAAAAACTGGAGGGAATCTTACTCTGGGGATGCCAAGGAAGCTAAGAAGGGAGATGCCCCCTATCCTGGCCTGATTCACTGATGTGTTCTTTGTCTCATCACCTAAGTAAATCTGCATATGAATCTGCCTTTTGTCCAACTTTGCTGCCTTTTCCCCTTTAAAATTTTTTTTATTTGTTCTAATTAGTCATACATGATAGCAAAATGCATTTCAATTCATTGTACACAAATGAGCACAGCTTTTCATTTCTCTGGTAGTATATGATGTAGGGTTGTTGCACCATATGTGCAGTCATCCATGTACCTAGGGTAATGATATCCATCTCATTCCACCATCTTTCCTACCCTCATATCCCCTCCCCTCTCCTCCCTCCCTTTTGCCCAATCAAATTTCTTCCATTCTTCTCATAGCCCCTCACATCCCATTATGGATCAGCATCCACTTATCAGGGAGAGCATTTGGCCTTTGTTTTTTGGCGGGGAGGGGGATTGGTTTACTTCGTTTAACATGATATTCTCCACCTCCATCCATTTACCTTCAAATGCCATAATTTTATTCTCTTTTAATGCTGAGTAATATTCCATTGTGTATACATACCACAGTTTCTTTACCTATTCATCTGTTGAAGGGCATCTAGGTTGGTTCTGCAGTTTAGCTATTGTGAATTGAGCTGCTATGAACATTGATGTGGCTGTGTCCACTTTCCTGGCCCTTAAGTTTTCCAAAGAGGGAAATTTGAAACAAAGGTATCTTCTGTTTTCATTCAAAGCCAGCTTTGAATAAAACCGCTTTTCCTGCCAATGTGACTCCAAATTTTGGGGAGGCATGAATGGAGGAGCAGTTCTACAGAATAACAGAATGGACACTGAAAGTATTGAGCGTGCCCATCGGCCTCCATTGTAGTGTCAGGCAATCTCTTAATGTGCAGACATGTTTTATTCTGTTCTGATGTTTTGTCTCATATCAGGCAATATCATCACAAACCATCTTTGTGTGTGTGTTTTACTGGGGACAGGTTGCTTCCAAACCCTCTCAGACTGCACAGTGCTACTAACTAAGCACAGATTAAGAAGCCACAGGGAAAATATGATATGAAGTACATTTGGAATTAAACTCAACACTACACAACAAGCCAACATCCCAGGTCACATCGTCAAGGGAAAGTTGCTCACTAATAAGATTCTCATATAAAAGTGGAAAAGATATTCATCCCAACAGATGCATAAATCTCAACCCAGAAATACAAGAAATATGAAAACACAAGGCAATATTACTATTCCAAAAGTTCCCTAGTAACTGAATCCAAAGATTGAAGTGGATGAAATGTCACATAATTTGGAAGACTGATTGATAAAATGATCAGTGATTTTAAAATACAAATTAATAGCAGAATGAATTAAGGAAGACAATGCAAGATATGAAAGAATAATTCAATAAAGAGACAGATTCTGAAAAAGAACCAAATAGAAATATTGGAAATGAAAAGCTCAAAAATCTCAACTGAGGAGCTAGGAATGTGGCTTAGTAGTAAAATGCTTGCCTGGCATGCATGAAGCCCTGGGTTCAAATCCCCAAGCGCGCACACACACACACACAAACTGTCAACTGAAAGTCTTACAATAGACTAGATGAAGTAGAAAAAAGACTATCAGGGTTTAAAGACAAAGTAAATACACTGGCAAATTCAGATAAAAGTAAAGAGAAAATAAGAAACAGTGAATAGAACATATAAGGTCCTGGGACAAAAATTAAGACACCAAATATTCAAATCACAAGTTTAAAGGGAGAGAGTAAAATTATAGGCTAATTGCATAGAAGACATAGTAGGTGAATTAACAGCATAAAATTTCTCAAATATAGGCAATATTGTTGACATCCAACTACTGGAAGCATTTAGAACCTCATATAGAAAAGACATTCATCCCAACAGATGCATAATGATAGGAACTAGTACACATTTTTCAATAATAACCCTGAACATAATTGGTCTGAATTCTCCAATTAAAAGACACAGACTAAACAAATGGATTTAAAAACAAGACCCAACTGTTTAATTTCTTAAAGAAACTCAACTAACTACCAAAAACATACAGACTGAAAGTGAGAGGAGGCAGAATGGTATTTCAATCAAATAGAATCCAAAAGCAAACAGAAATAGCTACACTCATAGCTGAAAAAAAATAGACATCAAACCAAAATACGTCAGAAGAGACAAAGGAGTTCATTACATGTTGATAAAGATTATAATTCATCAAGAAGATACAATGGTTTTAAATATGTATGCATCAAATGTTAGAACATCTAATTTTCTGAAACAAATTACTGAGCAATAAACAAACAAACTAGAGTCATTCCCTCATTCAGACAACACCAGGAACTTGTCATTAAGGGACTTACCACTAGACATTTTTTGAGCCTGAGCCCTGAGTCCTAGCCTCTTCCCTTTCCTGACATTGCTGATTCAAATGATATGGACAGATAATCCAAGTATCTACCAAGTTAGGTGTTTATTACATTTTATCTTCAAACATTTGAAATGGCATGTAGACTAAAGTCCTTTAGAAAGAACAATTCAATGTATTTTTAGTATATTCAGAGAATTGTGCACCATCATTACTATCTAATATCAGGATATTTTTACCAAAAAAACCCCATCTTAATTAGCAGCCACTCTCAAGTCCCGCCTTTCACCAGGTTCTGTCAAACATGACTCTACTTTTCCTCTCAATGGATTTCCCTATTCCGAACATTTCAAATAAATGGTTCATACAATGTGGTGTGTGTGTGTGTGTGTGTGTGTGTCTTATTTTACTTTGAATAAAGTTTTTAGTGTTCATCTATGTTGTGGCATGTGTCAGCCCTTCATTTTTATTGTCAAATAATATTCCATTGTATGAATGTGCCACTATTTATTCAGTTGAGGAACACTTGGGTTGATTTGCTATGTTGAATAATGTTGTTCTGAACCTTCTTATAAAATTTTTTTGTTATGTATGAACATCTGTTTTCATTTCTCTTGGGTAGATACCCAAGAAAGTAATTTCTGGATCACATGGCAACTATATACTTAAAATTTTGGAGGAATTGTCAAAACTGTTTTCTAAAATGGCTGCACCAATTTGCACTCACACCAGTAGTATATGAGAGTTCTAATTCTTCCACAAATGTTAGTGAGAATGCCTATTTGTTTCCTGTAGCCATTCTAATGGATGTGAAGTGATACTGTTGTTGCTAGAGAGAGGACCATTCTTACAAAAATAATAGAGAAAATTCTTTAGACTGAAAGCAAATGACACCAGACAGTAATCTAAATCCATGCAGGAAAACAATGAGCACCCAAAAAGTTCAACAAAAATTGTGTTGATAATTATAAAGAACATATGAATCATCTCTTGGTGTCCAAGGAGATTGGTTCTAAGACTCCCCATGGGTACCAAAATCTGCAGATGCTCAAATCCCTAATATAAAATATTGTCCTATTTACATAAAACCTATTAATTTCTTCACGTGTACTTTAAATAATTTTATCTCTTTCCTAGTTATATACCTAGTACAATGTAAATACTGTTATATTGTATTGTTTAGGGAATACTAATAAGGAAAAAGGTCTGTACATGTTCAGTGCAGACAATGTTTTCTTCCAAATACTTTCAAGCCACAGTTTGTTGAATCCCTAGCTATGGAACCTGTAGATACAAAGGGTCAACTGTAATTGCATATTTCATTTCCTTTATTCTTTTAACTGATTTAAATGGCACTTGCATAAAATAATATATAAATAAGTGCATTATTAAGTCTATAACATATAGAAATGTAGTATATTATACAATAACCCAAGGGTGGTAGGTGTGAACAAAGCTGCATTGGAGAATAAAAACAATACCAAGTGGTAACTTAAAGCCATAGGAAGAAAAGAAGAAATCCAAAATGGCAAAGAAGATTAATGTAATAAATTCTATAAATATATACTTGTGTTCCTTTATTTTTCTCCACTATCATCAAAAATATGAAGCGCAAAAAATTTTAATCAATAATTATAACAGTGTACTATAGGAATTCTAACAAATATAGGCATGAAATATTTTGCTAGATTCTTGGCTGATGATTTTCTCTTTCTACATTTTGAATATATATCTCACTGTCATTTAGCCTTCACTATTCCTGATGAGAAGTCAGATGTAAATCTTATTGGGGTCATTGTACATGACGTGTTTGTTTCTTCTATTTTGCTATTTTCAATATTTTCTCTTTATCTTTGACTTCAACATTTTGACTATGATGTGTGGATGCTGGAGCCTATGTAAGATAAACCTTTCCCAGCATAGGACTTTGGAAAATGCACAATGTTGAAGAGCTGCTAAATCTAGTCCACTCCAAATACCCCTTCTACCTCCAGGATGCTGGAAGAGATGGGAATTGCCATTGTCAGCCCACCAAAGCAGTTCTCCAAAGTGGTGATTTAGGGAGCTGAGAGCCGTTCTCAGTTCTAATGTAATGGCCTACCACTGTTTGTATCAAGTCTGTTTGTACAGAATTGCTGAATAAATGATTCTCAATTGGTTGTAAATCCTTTGAACAATCTCTAAGAGACCTTGAGTGGTTTTCTTTGCTAATTTTTACTAGCTTAATAAATACCACTCTGAGGAGTAGTCCAACTCCTAACACCACTGTTTCAGCAGTCCCCAGAGTAAGGCTTTTGACGTTTCAGTAAAACAAAACTAACAGCACAACGCATTAACGACTTTCTTACCAGTTTTATGATCTTTGGGCAAGTCATTTAATCTGTTTCCTTCTGTAAAATGAGGATAAGAGTGCCCATAACTGTTGGGAGGATTCATTAAACATAACTCTTATTATGCACTAAGACTACTACTTACTCTTATCACTATTTTTAAAATATATGTTTAATTAGTGTATTATAAGTACACACAATAGTGGGATTTGTGAATATATATTTCTATAGATGCACATATATAACAATATAATTTAGTCAATTTCATTCCCCTGTACCTCTCATCCTCCTTTCTCCTGGTCCTTTTCCTCTGTGCTACTGGTCTCCCTCCTATTTCAGGATATCACTATTTATAATGATCCACATGAATTTAGAATTTCACAGAATCAGAATCAGCTCATTCATACAACACCTTTTTTTTTTGCAAGTTAGAAAAGGTATCTTTCCTCAGGATACTTTATTGCTTATCTTTCAAAGTAATGATCATAATATAATGACTTTGCTAAAATAAGACAAGTTTTCTACCAACTTAAAGAAAAGTGTTGAAATATATATAACCAATCCATCATGTTTACAATGTGAATGCTTCCCCTTCAGACTAGAATAGTCATGACCTGCACAAATATCTATGGCAGCCTTCTCTGGTGATGTAGGCATTGCAGAGTATACTATAATCATTCTTCTTTCCAACAAGAAAAAAAATGAAGAAAATTATTAATCTAAATTTAAATTTTTTTCTGGGATTCAAAATGAGTCTAGATATACAAGTATGCTCACAATGACATTTCTGGGTACCTTTAGATGCCAAACACTGAAATTCCTTCATGGTCCATACTTACTGGGCTCACAGATGGGAGGAGAAGTATTCCATTTTTTATTAGCTTCACAATGGATTGAACTGCTGCCTTTAAGGTTAAAACCTTTCTGGCAACCAAACACTATAGAGTCTTTGTAAGAATAGGTCGGTCCAAATCCAGAGATGATGATTCCATGTGGAACAACTGGTGCAGGACAGTTGATATCTAAAAAAAAATCACGAGAAAAAAAATCAAGCAGATTTTAAAAGATAAACGGCAATAAGAATGTTACTGCTACCACTAATCCAGTTAGTAACACAAATACCTAATATAAGTATGTCATATAGATACAAAGGAAATATTTTTAAATGAGTGTGTGTGTGTGCACATGCATGTAATTTCAGCTTTTCAAAGTCTCAGTAAAATGAGGTCCCATCATACTAGTCCTTCTAAGAGATGATCGTGAATAAGTCCTTCAATTTACTAATAAAGATTAGTTATAGGTAACTCAGAAGACCTATATCTGTGAGGCCTAATTTTCTCAGATAATTTGGGTTGTAGGTCAGTGTAATGATCTGTAGGTCAGTGTAATAATCACCATAGTAATGATCTGGCGATGGTCATGAAGAGGTGGCCAGAGCTCCATGCCCCAACAAGCATAGTAAAAATCATCCCCCCCATCCCTCACCCTATCTCCAGTCAGTTATCAAACCCTATCAATACAGACACATTTACTCCTCTATAATCCCTCAACTTCTCTCCAGGGCTGCAGCCACTGCTATAGTTGAAGCCACATTGACTGGATGGTTAAGCAGTCTTAGTTCAAAACACCACAGACTGAGTAATTCCTAAACAATAAAAATTCCTCATATCTGGAGACTAGGAAGTCCAAGACCTGGGCACTGATAGCCTTAGTGTCTGATAAGGGTTTTCGGTGTATTTCCAAAATGGTGACTTTTGTGCTGCATCCTCTCATGAAGAAAAGGATGAGGGTTGAGTCCTCCTATGACAAAAGATCTAAAAGGACCAGGGAGCTTCCTTTCCTCTCTTTTAAAAGGGCACTAATCAGTTCCCCAAAGGCCCCATCTCTTAGTACCACTGGGGCTTAAATTCCAATATGAAGTTGGATGAACACATGCAAACCATAATAAGGGCCTGTTGGTCAACTTATGTCTCACTTCAAGTTATTGTCCATCCTTCAGGTAACAGTTATCTTTCTAAAATATAGAATACTTACTCTCCTTGTTCAAACCTTTTATCTCCCCTTCACCTTCATTCTAAATTCTTTTTTATTTTTATGATGAAGAGTATATTGAAAGAGGTGGGGAAAAGGAGCTTCCAGAAGATGGATTCAACATGTCTGAAAATATTTCAGTTATGTAAAGGGAAAACTTCAAGAGCAAGAATATATTATAAATAAGAGACTTTCAACTAGGTGGACAGATGAGTAAATCTTGTATCATTTGTACCCATGGGAGAGGTCTTCTTGAAAAATGCTTGTTTATAGAATATTCTCTAAAATAGAGTTGGCAACCTCCAGTGATTCTCCTTTTACCAAAATAATATCATAAGAGCCCATGTATTTTCTAAAAGTTCATCTACTCTATCATTTAGATAACCAGCCTTCAGAATGTGTTCAACATTGACTACCCCATCTGCCATTTTTAAATCTCCTTCAGAGTCTCCCAGCAGAATTATGTTGCTGTTGTCTTTGAGTTGACTGAAATAGTCAAGGCACCATCATTTTGTCAAATACATGAATTAGTTCTTCTTTAAATCCTTTGATGACACATTTTCATCAAAATCCATAAAGTTGGTCACTACTTTGACATTCTTTAGAGCAAGACACAAGCTCCTTTATAATGTGACCCCTGCTGACTTTTTCAGCCTCAGCTCCTGCCTTCTATGTATCTTAGGGTCCTGACTCAGACATTTGAACTCTGTACTATCCTGCTGTCTCATCCCCCAGGATTGATTGCATCTCATACTGAGTAAGAATAATAAGTGATACTGTATAAGCACTGAATGGTTATGGAAGATTTCTTTGGTCAGCAAACTAACAATACCATATGATATCTCCCAGCTTGATTATCATTTGCTTTGTCTTGTTATACCGTCTGTATTTAGTAGGGTTTTTGTTGTTGTTGTTGTTCTATAGGCACATATTGTTGACATTGTAGGTGCTAACCAATATTTCTTGTTATATTTCCTGAAAAGACAAAAAGACTTCATGCCCTACTCTTCTGAGGCCAGGTAGTATTTGCACAACACCAGTTCTAAGGCCAAGATGGAAAGTGATATGTGGTCACTTTGAGGCCAAAGCTCTAATAACCAGGATACAACTATATTCTTTCTTCCTCGGCTTAAGCGATTGTGAAAGCACATTTTGATAGGGGGTGCCATTGGATAAAAGCAACCAGAACTGCTGAGCTGGTTACTAAGCTAATGTATGGGCTATAGCGATCCTGAGGAGCCTCCTGGACATGCAATGGATTCCGAATGAATGAAGAGAAACTTTTACTTTACCAAACCAATGAGATACTGGTGTTGTTTGCTGCTATATCCTAGTAGAGCATGCAGCAAGTATCTATTGATCACATAAAGGACTGCCTCAGTGCAATCATTAGTTTCCTTGAATCATTTCATTTCCCCAATAAATTCAGCTTCCTTTTTCTTTAGGAAAAAAAAAGAAAAAAGAAAACAAACAATTTAAGGCTAAATTCATGATTGTGACTTACTTTCACAAGTAGGAGGACTTGGGCTCCAGACGCCTACTGTTTTATTCTCTACTGTGCAGGAAATGGAAGCATTCCCTATGAGTGAGAAGTTGGGGTCACAGGTGTAGGTGACAGAGGAGCCATATGTAAAGAGGTCTTCATCACTACCACTGTGCTTCCCATTGCTGATGTCTGGAGGGGGTTCACACTTGACAACTGGGATAAGGGAGTGAAGAGAAAGGAATATTCAGCAGGGCATCAGGACAAAGCTAAAATTCCTGCCAATTCAAACATCCCAAGAGGCAGTAAAAATGCATTATTATTCCATAACATGATTTAAGCTTATAGTCAAGTCAGAAATATCTTTACTTACTTAAACATACAGGGAAAGGGTTACTCCAGGCAACTCTCTTATCTTGGATGTCACAATAACTAGTGGTTGGACCCTTTAAGACAAATCTAGATAAGAAAAAATTGAAGATTTTAATGGAATTCTTCCTATATGAAATTAAATTAGATAAAGGGATTTGAACAGAGAGAATCTGTTACTTAATATTAAAATAAATAAATAAAGTTTTCTTGGATATTCCCAGAGAATACTCCACTTGGTAAAATTTCATCACTGTGATGAGATGTGTGTGTTTGTTCATTTGTCCTTTGATTCTTTAGTATTGAGTATTTAGTATCTACTAGGTGTCAGGTCTGCAGTTCATCCAGAGCTCAAGTAGAACAACAAAAATAATCATCGGAGTGAGTTCTATGGTTTTCTTTGAGAGTAAAACTCATGATCTCTGGTTTGCAGGATGCCTCTGACTTCAGATGTGTGGCTTTCTTTTCACACACCATCAACTCACTGCACACTACCCCCATTTTTATGGCTCTTGACAAGTCCTAATCTTTCTTCAATTTGACTTTCCTCTATGTCTTATGATAACAGGGGGGAAAGGCATTTTTAGTGTGATTTTACATTGTAACATCATCAAGAAATAAACCTCCAATGTGATGGACCCTTGAGGTCAATTCTTTAGCAGCCTAAGAGCCCCTGGAATGGACTGAATAATAACTTAAAATAAAATGTATCTTTTAATAGAAACAAAATATAGCTAGAATTTAGCAATTACTTTAGAATTGCTTTTAAGTGTAGTTTTTCTAATCAAGCGAAAATAACTGTTTCTGGTTATTTTGATAGGAACCGCTCAGTATTTCAATAGCACCTTAGTTCTCAAGGTGCTATTGAAATACAATACAACTAAATACACTAAATACAACTTTTTCTCTTGGGAGCCATATACAATAGGGGAAGCAGAAAGCAGGATAGAAATGAAACACTAACCAAAGTGAAATAACCACAGAAAGAAGATTAGAGAAAAATAATAAATAGAGGTGACAAGCAAAGAAGAATCATTGCATGCTTTATTGGAGAGTAAAATGTTATTTTAAAATGCATTTCAAGTAAATAATATTAAAATAACTCTCTGATCTACATAGTAAAATTTCAAATCACATAGCAGCAAAAAAAAAATTTGAACCAATGGTCTTTATCAAAACAGCTAAGAACAAAATTATTAGATTTCAAAGTTTAAGAATACCTTTGTATAGTAAAATTGCAAGGTATGTAGAAGAGAAAGAAACTGAGGTCAGCATCTGAGTTTTCTACAGCAATATTTGCCACTAAAAAATATTGCTGCAATACCTACAGGATATCTAAGAAATGAAACTATTTTAGTGCTAGGGATTAAACCTAGAGACACTCCCACTGAGCTAAGTCCCCAGCTCTGTAGTGTTGTTGTCCCCCCCGCCCCCCGTGGGGTGTGTGTGTGTGTGTGTGTGTGTGTGTGTGTGTTTGGTTGAGTTTCTGTTTGCTTGCTTGTTTTGGTTTGGTTTTTGAGAGAGGGGCTCACCAAGTTACAGAGACTTGGCCTTGAACTTTCCATCTTCCCACCTCAACCTCCCTAATTGCTGGGATTACAGATTGCAAGCCACTGTGCCTGGTTGGAAAGTACTTATATCCAGCCACACTATCTCTGCAGTGTCCATTCTTCTGATACACTAAAACCTACAATAGCTCAAGGAATAATTTACACTTTTTGGTGGGAGGTGGTGGGGCACAGGTTATTTTGTTTCAGTTTTTAGGAAACCACTACAGGACCAACTCTAGACAATCAAGAGACAACAGGGGCAACTTTAGCCAAAAACGGAAACAAATCAAAACAAAATGGTAGTGAACATTGGATCAAAGACAAAATCCAAGATGGGGCTAAGAGTTATTGAGTGAAATATAAATGTTATATGCTGAGACAGCAGTGGAATGCTAAAACTATCAAAAATAAGAGATGAGGAAGAGAGTAGAAGAAAAACACATTTCCTCATGGCCTCATTTCCAAGAGTTAGGAGTGAAATCAACCTGTAGACATATAATTATATTTGACTCTAATGTTAAATACAAAATAAATAATAAGATATAGGAATAACAAATTTACTGGTAAAGACAGAAGGGGTAGGAAGGGAGGAGAGAATGCAAATTTATTGTTGCTTTCAAGTAATAAATTTAAACTGCCTCAAGATAAACTGGAATAATGATACATAAATATAAATTTATAAAGATAGCCACTAGATCCAAATTTCAAACCTTCCTAAATATCATATCTATATCTTTCCATATTTTAAATAACAAATAAATGTACATATGCCTACATACATATATCACCATACATGAAATAGTATGACAAAACCAAGTTTATAGGCATCACTCATATCAATAAATGTAATTGGGCTTTAGTATCTTACTGAAAGATAAAATAGGTTTTAGTTGGAACTAAATTCAACTCTATGTTGCATACAGGAAACAAACCTATAATATATTTCAAACATATTAAGGAAGGGCAAAGTAAATGCAAACCAAAAAAAGAGATAATGATTTTTAACATCCCATGGAACAGACATCAGAACTAAAATGATTAAATCATACAAAGACAGGTACTTTATAATTTTGAAGATCTTTTTCCTCATGTAGAGCAACATGAGCCAGCAGTTCAGGAAGCTGAGGAAAGAGGATCTTGAGTTCAAAACCAGTCTCAGCAAAAGCAAGGTGCTAAGCAACTCAGTGAGATCCTGTCTCTAAATAAAATATAAAATTAGTCTGGGGATGTGGCTCAGTGGTTGAATGCCCATAAGTCCAATCCCTGCCCCCCACCCCGCAAAAAAAACCTCTATGTACCAAAATATATGGTATCCATTTTAATAAACAAAAAAAAAACATGGGCTATAAGCAAAACAGTCAAGCTATGCTATCAATTATCATTAATTTATTTATACTATTATTTTATAATATAGTTATAAAAGTTATTATTTTACTTTAATTCCTATATTTCTGTTTAAAGTATATAAAGAGCCTAGTGTAGAGTGGTGTATGCCTATAATCCAAGCTACTCAGTAGGCTGAGACAGAGGATTGTGAGTTTAAGAACACCCTGGGCTATATAAGGAGATCATTTCTCCAAAAAAAAAAAAAAAAGAAAGAAAAGAAAAGAAAAAAGCAAATCAATAATAAAGATAATAAGGCATATAAAAAGAAGGCCTAACAAAAGATTCAAAAAAGCCATTATCAAAAAAGTAGATCTGAGATGGGCGTTGTGGCACATGCCCGTAATGCTAGTGACTTTGGAGGCTGAGGTACAAGTTCAAGAATAGCCTCAGCAAATTAGCAAAAACCCTAAGCAACTTAGCAAGAGCCTGTCTCAAAATAAAAGGACTGGTGATATATCTCAGTGGTTAAGCACCCTGGGTTCAATCCCTGCTACCAAACAAAAAAAGTAGATCTGAAATATGTATATTTCAGATATATGAATATATATAATAAAAATATGCCTTCATTTGAAGTGCCTATGGACTATTGATGAAAACCAACCATATATTCATGATGTACCCTAAAACCTCAGTAAATTCTGAAATAGAAATAGGCAAAATTCTCTATGGGGGTAGAAGTACCATGGTAGACAGCAAGAGTTCCAATAAAAGAGTTGTCAGGATTCAGTAAATAAAAAGATAGGATAGCTAGACAGGTGGCACAAGCCTGTAATCCTAGCTACTTGGTAGGCTGAGGCAGGAAGATCACAAGTTCAAGGCCAACTTGGGCAACTTAATAGGACACTATCTCAAAATCAAAAATAAAAGGAAAAAGGACTAGGGATGTAGCTCAGTGGGAGAGTACCCCTGGGTTCAATTCCCAGTTACAAAGAAAAGAAAGATAGGATGTTTACTTTTCAAGTTAAACTTGAGTGCCATGTAAACAGCAGTTTTTTTAGTGTGTGATCCAAATATTGCATGGAGCATACTTATAATAAAATCATTTGTCTGAAATTTAACTGGGCATCCTGGGTTTTACCTGGCAATTCCAAACTAAAAGTTTTCACCTGTCAATTCTGGCTCCTCATGCAAGTGAATAAATAGGAAAGGAGGAGGTTATGATGGTTGGGGTTATTCATCCTGACCACTGAGAGGAAACTGGATTGCTTCTGCACAATGGTGTTGTGTAACTACATTTGTACAAATTTATATACGCATAAGTAAATGCATCAGAGCATTGTTCAGAATAGCAAAATACTAGAAACACCCATGGATCCATCAAAGGGGTTAACTCTTGACACATCTACACAATAAAATTCTGTACTGTTGTAAGCAAAAATTAATGCAGAAACTCTCTATATATAAACATGAAATTTTTCCAATATATACTGATCAGTGCAATAGCGAAGTAAGATGCAAAACTACATTCGTGGTTGAAAAGAGGGAAAAGAAGAATATATGCTAATTTCTTAGCTTGCAGTAGAATAAGGAAACACTAGAAAGATGCAGGAGAAACCAATAAAAGGAAATCCTTGCTTGAAGAAAGGAAGAAATGGAGTATATGGAGATAGAATAAGAGATTTCTTACTGCATACCTTTTCATGTCATTTTAAAATTTGGAATATATGAACACATTAGCTATTTTAATTAGCTATTCTAATTTAAAAATTAGACAGTGTAATATTACTCAGCATTAAAAGAAAAGAAAATCATGGCATTTGCAGGTAAATGAATGGAGTTAGAGAATATTATGCTAAGTGAAGTAAACCAATCCCAAATGCAGAATGTTTTCTCTGGTATGAGGATACTGATCCATAATAGCAATGGGGGAGGGGGAGCATAGGAGGAATGCAGGAACTTTAGATAGGGCAAAGGGGAGGAAGGGCAAGCGAGGGGGCAGGAGAGCAGGAAAGAAGTGAAATGAGATGAACACCATTACCCCAAGTACATGTATGAAGACATGAGTAGTATCATTCTACTTTGTGTATAACCAGAGACATGAAAAATTGTGCTCTATAAGTGTACTATTAATTGAAATGCATTCTGCTGTCATATATAACAAATTAGAATAAATAGATAAAATTTAAAAGAAAAGAAAAAAATAGTAATTTGAAGTATTGTTTTCAGACTACTCTTACTCACCCCTCTGAACAGCTGAATTCTATGTGTGATCCAAAAGCGAGATCTGTCTTAATTTCCACACGCCCATTAGGTAAATCTCCTGGATTACTGCATCGTTTTTCTGAGAGAAAATTTAAAATGATAATTAGTGACTCTAAGATCTCGCATTAGAAAACAAAATTGAATGATCAAATTCTACCTCTGCATCCAGAAAAATCCAAATGTTAAGATTCATACTTATTTCTGAACCCAACTTACTTTAATTTGGAGGAACAATGCCATGAAATTTTATCTCATTTTTTTATGGTACATTTTACCAAGAACCATGTGTCCTTGTGTAACAAAGGCTTAGATACTTCACTTTTGCCTGAAAATATCCTAGAGGGGGCTAAAAGCAGAATTACAGAGTTGGCATCTCTGTTTCCATTTTGCATCTTTCTCCTTTGATCTGAGTCAACTTGGATTCCAAAAGCAACAAACAGGTCTGATGGATAAACATCTCATGATGCCTCAGAGCTATGGCTCCACTGACGAATCCTGAGAAAATGATGGTCCAGAGCACACATGGTCAATATCACCTGGTTAGCTGTGAAAAACCTCCAGCTCTTCAGACACCCAACCTTTGCCCTTATTTCCTTTCTATAAAACCTCAAAGTCATTGTCAGCCCCTTGAGAACAGGGCTGAGGACATGAGTGCCCCATCTCTTCCCAGTATGGCTACACTCCTGAAAGTTCCTCGCCTGTCTTTCACCTTTACTTTCTGGAGAGAGTGGCCTGACCTGATTTATTGGTTCCCTGGAGTCAGGTTTCTGGCCTTGGACTCTAGTAACCCTTGGTTACAAAAGGAAACCAAAAGACAAGGTATTAATTCATATGCCCTTTCTTTTGGAAAACATCACAGAGGCATCACCCACTGACAGGGAATCATCTCCATAGACCCAGCAGATATGTTGGGTGAGAATACTTTGGCAACTGCATTACCACTTTCTAGCCACTTAATTTTTTATAACTTTTCAAAACAGTTTTGAACTTTTCAACATATCAAAGCAAGGTTGGTGGTTCATTTCTTAAAAGAAGGGCTTGTTGAATCACTTCCTATAAATTGGAATTCTTTTTCAATGTAAACAGCCAACTCCTAAGGTTTCTGCTTTATTATGTTCTGTTTTTCAAACGTGGTTACATGAATCCCATTGAAACCAATAGTTGACAAATTGGATGTTTTCTAAGCCAGAAGTTTTGATCCTGAGACAATTTTGCAAAGCTGGAAAAAAGTAAAACAAGAAGAATAAACATTGATACTTACTGACACAGAAGACATCATAGTTCCATCTGCCAGTATATGCACAGGAAACTTGGGAACTTGAACTTGTCTTACTGTAGCCAGGGCGGCAGGCATAGCTCAGACTATAACCAGTTCTGAATTCTGTCTGGTTCGGTGCACTTATTGGAGAAGCAAAGCTTAGATTGGGTGGGGGACCACATTTGCCTGAACATCAAAATGACAAGAAGCACCAAATATTATATCTTGAGACACATCATCTCAGGGTTCTAGTAGTATGATTGTAGAGCAAAGACAATCGAGAAATATCGGGCGCTGGGGATGTGGCTCAAGCGGTAGCACGCTTGCCTGGCATGCGTGCGGCCCGGGTTCGATCCTCAGCACCACATAAAAATAAAATAAAGATGTTGTGTCCACCGAAAACTGAAAAATAAATATTAAAAAATTCTCTCTCTCTCTCTCTCTCTCTCTCTCTCTCTCTCTCTCCCCCTCCCCCTCTTTCCCTCTCTTTTAAAAAAAAAAAAAGAGAAATATTGGAACTCCCACGAGGCTCTCTGTTCAATGAATCCAGTGAGTGATCAGTACTATGCTTGCTGATAACGATAATAATTAAAGGCATAAATTTGTCCTTTCTCTACAATATATCAGATAATTTATCTAAAAAGGACGACAGCCATGAATTTTACAAGCCTATTGGATTCTTCATCTGAACTGACTCAATGTACCTATGCTAAGCCAGAAATCCCCACAAGTCAGCCTCAACAGAAATGTATTATTTCATTAAAAATAACATGACATAAGGTCAGCAACCTCATGAAAAGAAAACTGGGTGGCTGGAAGATGTGTATGAATAACACATTTTAAAATAAATATTCTCTGTGTCTTTTGGATTTTGAATGATGTGGAGGAGGAGGCTTAGTGTCCTTGAAACATAAAAATCTTAATCCTACTTAATGAGAGAAGTGTTAGGGAGTTATGTTGGTCAAATTACATTGTGTGCATGTACAAATATGAAACAACAATTCCCATGATGATGTACAACTATAATGCACCAATGAAAAATGTGGAAAGAGAATAAAACAGGACTGATTTACCTTTTTAGAGACACAATAGAAGTATAATCTTCAGTTTTCCTTTCTGAATAAAACCACAGACAGTGGAATTGTTCAGCTGGACTGACAGACAATATAAATTTGTTTCAAGTCATGGTGGGAGACTGATTGTTTTGGAAACTCCTAGAAAAGAAATTCTAGGAGAAAATATCTAGAAAATTGTCTCTTTCATGTATAAAGCAAATTCCTCTGAATTCCAGTTGGACAAATAAATTCTGTGGCTGAAACTGAATTGCTGCTGGAAGTTTAGTCAGTTCTCTTTCAGTCTACTTGAACATGTGGATGATCTCGATTTTCTTGTTGCCCATCTGAACCTGTCTCCCACTACTCACCATGAACAGTAACCAACAGAGCAGCGACCAAGGTCATTTGGAACAGAATTGGATCAGAGACTCTCCACAGATTACAGAAGGCCCAGGTTGCCATTTCCCCCTTTCTATGATGGGTTCCACTTGGTGGTCTTGGGGGGCACATGACCTGCCACTTCTCTGGCATTTTTTTTCTGCTGAAAGAATTCAATTTAATAAGTACTCATTAAATTCCTACTTGTCATAAAGCAGTAGAATAAATACCATGGGATCCCTGTCTTCAAGGAAATTGCAGCCTAGATTGAAAGAAAAAAGAGCATAAACATCATACCAAGACAAGACAGTGGGGGATGGCCTGTGCAGAAGTATCCTCTTAGAAGACAGATGAATTGCAAGTGGAGAGAGGAAGAGAGATTTAGAGAGGGGGCCACATCTGAGCTAGGTATGCTGTGAAGTTAGAGGATAAATGCAGGTCATACTAGGGGAATAGCAGATAATTCTTCTGTTTGGGATGTTAGTAGTGTCTGTGATAAGGGGATAGGAGGGGGAAACTTTTAGCTATGTCTGAAGGGGCTGTGAGAGTCAAGTTTAAGAATTCATAGATTTTACTCTTTGGGGAATAAAGAGTCATTGTTTTTCATTTTTGTTTTAGTTTTTGATTTGTGCATTTGTTTTTAGCTAAGGTGTAACACAATTGTGTGGTTTAAGATCACTATGGCAGAAGGAGACAGAAAAGAAACAGAGAGGTTGATTAAGATGACATTGCAAACTACCAGCTGAGCCATGCAAATGATCTGAACAAGGAAATAGCACCAGAGTTTCAGCACTCTCTTGTGTTTATAATTCATACTAAGCTCATGGCCATTTAAGAAGAGGGAGTTCAGCTGGATGTAGTGGTACATGCCTGTAATACTAGCTACTCAGGAGGCTGAGGCAGGAGAATTGCAAGTTCAAAATCAGCCTGGGCAACTTAAATAAACCCTGTCTCACAAAGAAAAAGTAAACAGGACTAGGGATGTAGCTCAGTGTTAGAGATCCTCAGAGTTCAATCCCTATTATTGAAAGAAAAGGGGCTTCCCTCAATATTTCTCTAGAAGATGTTTCTCTCCCACATTATGGGGGTGGTAGTAGTTCGTAGTGGGTTCTTTCACACAATGTGGAGGGACCAAGGTTCTGCATGGAGTAAAGATACCTGGAAACTAAAACTCAGTTGTGAAGTCATTCCTTCACCTGTTGTAAGGCATGGGCACACATTCTTTCCCATGAGCTATATAGGCAGCCACCAGGACATCTGTCAATGCATGTATACACCTACTGAAGAATTTACCTGATGAATTTGTTGACTGAAATATGCTTGCAGAATTTATACTACATGAATCCATGTGGTCTAATGAGGTTGGGAAGAGTCTCTCCCTCTTTCTCTGGCTCGTACTCTCTCTCTACCTCCATTCCCCCTCTCATTCCCTAGCAGCCCCTCCCCGTCTCTAGTCTCTCTTTTCTCTGCCCTTGCAATCTGGTGAAGCTCAAGACAGTGGAGAGAAAGGCAAGTTGCATAACATGAAGGCTAGCCCACTAAATCATCTGTGAAATTTACAAAATATGATAAATTTCTCCTACCCAATAAATACTTCTATGAGCTATGAAGCCAATAATTTTCTTTAAATTTGATATGTCAGTAGATTTGATATCGTATTGAATTTCCATGAAACTGATGATATTAAAAATACAGATGTGTTGACAAAAGAATTTGATGATGAAAAGTCAAAAGGATAATATAAAGTGAAAATTTCCCATATGAATTATTGCAATTGTTATATTCATGAGAAAAAATATATATGTGGACTATTTTCAGAAAAAATATTTATGACTACAGTTATAGCTTAAATCCTTAGCTTTAAGAAATTGAACTCAGATAGCTAAAATGCTGCAAAAATATTCATTAGCTGTATTTTAAAAGAATATATTTGTAATCATTAAATTTATTCTAAATATTTCCTAAGCAATGTTATGTAAAATGAAATTTTGATATATTCCAGCAAATTGGTTCCATTGAATCGACCTTTAGGAAGTAGTAGTCACTCAATCAGCTTTGGTGACTAACTTATCAGTAGTTTGGACTGAGTCACTGGGTTCCATATGACCTGTTCTAGTCAACCAGGATTCTTGACTTTCCTACCTCCTACCCCTCCCCACATCACCCACCCTCTCTCTTTCCTCTTTAGCTTCTACTTATTCTGCCAGTCCTTTCTCCAATGTCCCCTTGTTTTCCAGGTCAGCCTCCATGTACCAAGTACAGTTTTGTATTTATAACTCTCCACTGACTTGGCTTGCAACAAACATCTCAGGTCTATCATCCCCACTAGATTATAAATGCCTTAAGTCAGAGGGTGGCCATCTATTCATTGCTGCCCTACACAGTACCTAGCAATGTGGCACACAAAGTCAAATTCCTCAGTGTATGTTTGATTAATGCACACCCCAGAGCACCTAGTGCTGAAATATGTCTCAAAGAGAAATGATACTTGTTTTGGTTTGGTTATGAGGTGTCCCCCCAAAGCTCCTGTGTTAAAGCAGGAATGTTCAGAGTGAAATGATTGGATTGTGAGAGCTGTAACCTAATCAGTCCATCCTAGTTTGAATGTACTGACCTGGTGGTAACTGTAGGCAGACTGAGGGTGGTTGAAAGAGGTGGTCAGTGGGGGTGTGCCCTGGAAGGGGCCATCTTCCCTCAACTTTCTCCTTCCTGACCACCATGAGCAGAGCAGCTTCCCTCTTTCCACACTTTTCTGCCATAATGTTCTGTCTCACCTCAGACCAGAGCAATGGAGTCAGCCTACCATGGACTGAATCTCTAAAACCTTGAGCTAAAATTAACTTCTTTTCCTCTTCGTTGTTCTTATTGGGTATTTTGGTCACCATGGTAAAAAGCTAACATAATACTGTTTGATATCCACACTATTTGTTTTTTAATTTTGAGTTTGTTTCAGGGGTTTTATACGGTGGTTTGTTTGTTGGGACCAGGGGTTGAATCAGGGGTGCTAAACCATGGAGCCATATTCCCAGCCCTTCTTTATTTTTTATTTTGAGACAACACTAAGTTGCTTAGGGTCTCACTAAGTTGCTGAGGCAGGCTTTGAACTTGTGATCCTCCTGCCTCAGCCTCCTGAACTGCTACATGTTCCAACATACCTGTCACACATCTGTATTTTAAAGAAAATTGACCAATTTTATGCTAAGCCCTTTTACATCACTAACCTTAAGTCATCAAATCATCAACCGATTGTAAGGGAGGGGCAATGAAAGGGGGAAAGAATAAACAAAAACTAATTCTCCTCCCTCCATGGGTTATGAAACAGACACACAGACATGACACCATGATGAGGAAGTTATTTCACTCCCTTTATCTCAGTCTCACTCTGAGGCCACAGCCACAGAGCTAGGGACAGAGGAGGGCAGTGTTCCCAGTACCTTGGGACTATATCTGGATTCAGACCCAGATGCTGTGAGTTTAAATTCTGGTTCCACCATGTAGGAACCAAGTGCCTGTGGGCAAGACATTGAGCCCCTCCACACCCATTTCCTCTGTTATGAGAATGATCGAAATGCACTCTACTGTCATGTGTAACTAATTAGAACAAATGAAAAAAAATGAGAGTAATAATCATACACGTCTTTAGGAATTGCTGAGAGGGACTTGATGGTGTTTGGGTGGCACATAGTAAACATTCAGAAGAGATGTTAGAATTGGAGTGGGATGTTACTCTGCCAAGAAGAAGAGTGCCTAGAATTCAAAAACATCATCTTCAGAATGATCTGAATAATGGATTGCATCACCAGGGGGAACTTTACACTCCAGTGCAGAGTGAAAGCCACCAACATGGGGACAGAAGCCCTCGGTCTGATATCCTCTGTGGCTCTTGGCACACTGAGACCCAATGTGACACCCAGAGCAGAGAGACGCTGGTGTCCCAAGGGCTACCTTGAGTTTATTTCTGTCTTACTCTCAACCTTCTTCTGGGAGGAATTCACACATACCTATGACCCTCATCATCAGACATGCGTCACTTATAGACCTCTGGGCCCAAATGCTTCTACAGATATAAAAACGTATGAGCTCCTTAAATTTAATTATTAATAATTACCTTATTCTGCCCCATTTGAATCTTCTTACATGTAAGTTTTAAGTCATTCAGGCCTGTCTTCTTTATTCTGGTTGCTAATTAGTGAAATATCTGTGCTAAACCTTAAAACTATGTCTTTCCTAAGTTGGTGAAAGAAATTTTAGCAAAGTTAGGAGGAAATATTTCCTCTTCCCCTGCAACTGCAGAAGAGCAGATAACATCTGCATGGTAAAACTGACTTTGCAAATGTTATTTCCCACAAAAGCGTTTTCTAGACTTTAGAGATGGTTGTTCTGCTGCTTGAAAGTAACCTTTAACTTTAGGAAATACGTACTTCTTACTAGTTATCTTAACAAATTATTTTTTGTCTGGGATAATATTTAAATAATTTCTCTTTCCCAAAAGTTACAAACATTTATGAGTTTTCTTTGTATATCCAGAAATACATAATTATACTTTCCTCTTCACCTGAAACCCTGAATGTAAACCAAAACTTGGGATCCTGTTAGATTTCTTATTTAAGCAAAAAAACTCCTTTTTAAAATTTAAGTTTCTATTATCAAAGTTCAGATTCTTCAACCACGTCATTTGTATCTCCTAGGCACTTTGAATCCAACATATCTCAAATTAAATTTCCTGCTTTACCTCTGTTTTCTGTTTGGGCTGAAGTAACAAGATACCACCCATCTCCCAGATGAGAACCCTGAGTCAGGCACATCATCTCTCGTCTTGTGCCAGCTTTGCATGTTCAGAATGACCGAGTCCTGTCAAGATGGCCAGAGCAGGAGCACTAGAATCTGTCACTCTGTCCTATGTTCTACTTCCAAGTTTAAGTTCTCATAATTCCCTTCACCCCACCCCAGACTTCTGCAAAAACCTCCAAACATTTGTAGCTAGCTTCTATATTGATAAATAATGTCTCTAAAAAGCAATTGACATTGTCACTCTGCTTAAACATTTATGTGGTCCCCAATCCTTGTAGGTCCCCATTTGTCTCCAAACTTCCTACTTGCCTCTTTTGCAAATAGAATAATGCTTCTACCTA